CAGCATGATGCTGACTGCGTGGACATGCATTAATAAACGGATAAGGTGAGTCACTAAGAAACCTTCTTCTTCTTCTGTCATGCAGGCGTTCATCCGGCGCTGCCTGGCCTATCGCAAGGAGGACCGCTTCGACGTTCACCAGCTGTGCTCCGACTCTTACCTTCTTCCTCACATGAGACGCTCGAACTCGTCCGGCTCGCTGCAGCCCACCGCCTCCACCCTCCCCACCTTCTGACTGACGCCGCCCTCAGGTCAATCTTAACACAGGATTGTCAGAGTTGGAGGATAAGAAATGAAATGTGGACCTTTTTTTTGTTTTTCTTCCTCCCCCACTACGTTTCTAGAATGGACTATTTAGCAACAAGCAAAGTGGGAAAGAAAATGGAAAATAGAAGAAGATGGAAGGAAGTGTTTGACCGAACTTTAATAAGAGAGAGAAGGAAAAGAAGACTGAAACGGAGAAGAGAAGCCAGAACAGAGTGAACCAAGTGTTTCTGCTTTAACCCTTAGAAGAATCCAAAATCAGTATACGACCTCTAGTTGCACTCTACATATAGCAAAATGCCCAACCAGATGACTGTAAAAGCAAAAGCATCTGTGAACAGCAGTGGGTGTGGGAAAATACTCCCTTCATTTCAAACGAAACAAAAAAGAAAAAAAAAAAGGACAGAATAAATTGTCCCGTCTCATCGAGTTTCCTCTGCACGCATCGGGGATTCGTTTTCAAAGTGATGTAACCCTGACGGGGGAGGAAGGGGTTAAATTTGCACTTCCTGTCCCAATCAGAAGCAGTTCGGATCTGCCGAAAGTGGATCTTGTCTTAAATCTTTTTATTTTCTCGTTGTTGTCCAGGCGAGAGTCCGAAGGTCCGAGAAGCGACGTGTTGCGACACAGTTTGGACTCCATACGGACTCGGAGTCCGTTGTACATTTCTCACTATAGCAGATATATTCTAACAAGGCTTTTCCCCTCTTTGCTTTCTAAGTGTCCTCCCCCATCTGTTTGTTTACTCTCAAAAGCTGTTCTTCAGTTCGCTGCTATAAATGTTGCTTTTAGTTTTATTTTTAACAACGGGAATGAGTTTTCACCTCGCGTCGGCCGCATACTTGAACTTTTAAGAGGAAATTTCCAGAACCTGTGTCGTTTCGAAGGAATGAGTTTTTTTTGTTTGTTTTTGTTTTTTCCTTCTGCAGCCAACATCAAAATGTCTCCTCAGATTTCTGTTTGCTTACTGACTTCTTTAGAAGCAATAGTGTGCTGTGTTGTGAGGAATATTCCCGCCCGTCCCCATGCCGGAGGAGGTGAGAAAAGTTACTGCGTTTTATTAACTTCAGCTGGAAAACAAATGGATATATCCAAAAAAAAAAAAAAATGTCATGGTGTAAATAAAAACAACTCTTACCTGTATGGTGGTGTCTCTTAACGGCCTTGCAGGGGAAATCGACCACAACACATTTGCAGACTCAAAAAATATGAACTTGGAGAAAAAGTTTTTCCAACTCAATTAACTTTCATTTGGAAAAATGACAACAGTTAAGTGGCTGCTTAAGGCTCCAACACCACAAGGGGGCCCCCAAGAGCATCATTTGATTTTATTTTCCAGTGATTGCACGTTTTGCAAATTTGTACCAAATCTTTAAAAACAAAAGATATTAAACTTCCGTAAATTCAGTGTATCTTCAGATGTTACTTTCAAATAGTTAAATTAATATGTTGGCATTTCAAAATGCTAATTAGAGCATTTTTGTTTGTTTTGCTACTCCTGTAAGGTTAAAATCAACAGCTATATTAACACCAGTAAAATTTAAGGCAATCACATATGACACTAATAATAGTGGATATGTTACACGCATAGAAATAAAGTATCTGATGTTGACATATTGGTATGGGGAACCTGAAATGAAAATCTACTTGGGCCTCAAAAAAGCTTGGGCCGGCCCTTGTTATCTCAAAGCATGTTGCATGTCCAACTCTGATTCAGTTAGAAGGGATCCATTTTTTTTCTTTTAAGTAAAGCACAATCATACAGTCAGATTAAAGGGAGTGTTTGTTAAATGGTGTAATGAAAGAATGTGAAACAATAGAGGCATCATGAGCTCGGATTGGACAGCTGTAGAATCGGTCGCATGAAATCCAGACAAGATGGAGGATTCTGCTACGGAACGGATCAAACGGAAAAAAACAAGATTTAATTTTTTTCTTTTTTTGCCTCTTTTCAATGTTTCATCAAATTTAGTGATCTACTTCATTGACTAAGGAGAAATAGAATGATTTCTCCTTAAACTTTAAAGCTGCAGTGTATAAATGTCTTTTACATGTTTAAGTGTCACTATGTTACGGCTAATCTTTGAAAAAAAATCAAGCTCCTCTACCTGCTTACTGTTGTCCTACTACCACCATTTTAAAATATAAACCACATTTAAACTAGGTACACTAATAAATAATGCACACAGTTGATGGCAAATACATTTAAAAAAAGAGATGCATTAACATTTTACTCTGTTTGAATATGGACTGATAACTAGTCGTCTTTTCTGTTCCACTATCTTGTATATCCAATCGTTTGATTTCGACAGTCATTCTTCCTGACTTAGCATGTAGCGGCTGTGGACCGTTGATTGCATGGTTCCTGTTGCAAGTCCTCATCTTAAGCAGGCGAGCAGAAACGGGAAGTAACCTGCTGCAGACCTTGGATCTGTGCAAACAACCGGCTGATCAGAAAAACGGAGCAGACGCACTAAATCAGGGATCTGTGGCTCTTTGGGTGGCTCCTAATAATTTTGGCTGAAAACGTTAAAGAATAAATGTTTTTAAATGTAGAGATAAATACAGGTGTTCTCCAATGAATTTCCATAATAGAACATGAAACTACCAGTAATATAAATTTTTTCAGTCCATTTTTTGTCAGTTTGGAAATTGCTTTGTTCACACAATTTTCCTCAAATATTAAAATTCCATACAGAAAGTTTTTCTATCACGTGTGTTACATTTTCCATTTATTTTTAAATCTAAAATAACTGTGGTTTTTCTAAAATGATAAATTTCACATCATATATTTTTAAAAAATTATACATTTTCCCCAAAGCAGATCTGCCGATCATCTTTAATCTTATAAATTTCAAACAAATGTACAATTCCTTTCATGACCACTAGGAGGCACTGCACACAGCTCATTAACTTTGCCACTTTCAGATCTTGAAGATTTGATTAGGAAAAATAATAGGTTAGATAAAATAACTAGGACCACACACAAAAATCTAGTTTTAAGATTAGAATTTGTTCTAAGACGTGGAAGAAACAAATAAGTTCAGGATTTGAAGGGAAAAACCAATGAATGAATATCAGAACAAATCTGAAGCCAAGTGAAACTTAAGCAATATTTAAAATATGCAAAACTTTAAAAGCCTGTATATGAATACTTGAAACTTTTTAAAATGACTTGTCATTTGCTATACAAGAATGCACTAAAACTTTTGGTTTGTCTTTTTTTTTCTCTCCAAGTCAAACTTTCCTCAGCTGATGTTTGACGATATCAAATTTCTTAGGTTTGAAAAGTTAAACATTAACGGACCATAAAACAATAAGAGTGAGCATTGAGATGAAGGCACAGTTTGTAAAACTCATTTGGCTTTATTGTTTGCACCGTGCATTCTGTAGATGTTTTCTTGAAAGTTTTACAGAGACTGTACTGCAACTGTGACCGACCCAAACAGGGTTCAGGGGTGGGTAACCCAGCAGCTAGAACCATGACCTTTCAACTTGTTTGCTGACATACTGTGTAATATAGAGTTCTGCATATATGTGGGGACATACAAAGGGACTCTAATCATTTAAAAAAAAAAAACACACACAAATAAAGTGGTGCAAAATGATGTAGATTGATTCTGGAAAACTCCAGAATTAGTAATTCAATCAGTCTGAAGGTGTGGTGTGGGGGGTTTGTTAGCTACTAATAAAAAGGTTGCAGAATGGAGCTGGAAAACAGGGCAACATAAACATGTTTATAGTTGTGTGGATTTTTTTTAATACAGCAGTGCAGGAGTTAGTCATCCCACTTCATAGTCAAAAGAAATTCTGCTCATCATCCAGCCCCATTAACATGTAATGGTTATATTAAGGAAAGGGGGGTTGGCAAGGGCAAACCAGTTAGGAAAAAGTGAAAAAAAAAAAACAAACAAAAAAAACTATTTACTGCAGAAGTGTGAAGCAATCTTCTCTGTACAGTAGCTTTGACAAGCTGCAGTTCTACCAGTTCTGCTGAAAGACAATCCGTCAACACAGACACGTCGGACTGATCTAGAACCATCATCCCGTCTCTTTGCCTCCGCTCTAACTGGGGCGTCGGCCATTGTTGCGTCTCGCTGCCTGCTCTCTCCTGGCCAAATAAATAGAAAAACCACAGAAAGACAGATGGGAGAAAGAGAGAAGAACCGGCTGCGTTAAAAGCTTGGCGGCGACATTACGACGGTGGTAGTGTTGTATCCGTGGGGGCCGAGGGTTCTGTGGCGTCGGCCTCTGTGGTGGCGATGGCGGCCGGGACGGTTGCGGGCATCGCCGTGACCGTGACAGAGGCGGCGGGGGCGGCGACGCTAGAGGGGGGCACGAAGGGCAGAGGGGGGTTGGGGAGCAGCGGAGGGAACTGACCCAGACCTGGTAGGGACAGGGGGGGCAGCTGAGCCAGAGGGGGCACTGTCAAAGATATTTTTTAAAATAACTTTAATTAGTTCAGATTTGTTTAGAATTAAAATAATTTAATTAAAAAAAAAGAGAGACCAAACAGAGAGCCTGGTTTTTCCTGTAAACTCACCTGTCGTTCCTGCGGCTGTAGGTATGGAGCTGGAGGTTGCCAGGGAGACGGCGCTGAGGTCTGGGAGCGGCAGGTTCAGGTTGGGGAGGTTGGGGAGTGGAGGCAGCCCTCCTGGGAGAGGCATGAGACCTGAAGACGGATACATCACATTCCTCCGTTACTCACACTGGCTGGGTTTACATTACAAATGTGCATAAATCTTTGTCAATATTCTGTTAATATCACAAAAAGATAACTTCACAATTGTGATGTTTCATCCAAGCAAATTAAAATCACTCGAGTCAACGACTAGTCGTTAAAAATCATTGGCAGCGACACAAACTACTTCCTGTCATTGTCGTCTTCATGGTTTTTGCCAGTAGTAACATCCGGCTGTTGATCACCCGATTTGTGTGATGCGCAAAAAAAAAAAAAAAAAAAAAAAATTTCCCCCCATCAGTTTTGCAAAATACATCTATTTTATTACGGCCTAAAACCCAACTCATCCTAGTGCAGAAACTTTGAAAACCGTGAGCTTTTTCTAAATTGGTGTTTCAGATAAACAAATTTGCTTTCGATCATCTTACCTGGTAGCGTTGTGGCTGGGCTAAAACCGGCGGCAGCAGGATTCAGTGGAGGGAGGGGAGAGAAGGAGGAGCTGGAGGTGGAGGGGAGGAGAGGGACTGTGGGCAAGCCTGGAGGAAGAGAGGAACACGGAATATCAGGAACCAAAATGCAGAGTGGACCAAATACCCAGCTGGCTAAGTGAAAACAAAGACGATACCCGTCTGCAGCTCACTGGGCATGGTGGGCGGAGCAGAGCTGATGGACAGGCCGGATGAGACGACAGGCGTGGAGGAAGGAGGAGTTACAGCAGAGAGCTGGACCTAAGCAGGAAATGGAGGAAAGTCAGATTTATTTGAATAGCACATTTGTAAGATGGGTTTTTTAGGGCAGTTGGAGACAGAAAAAAAAAAAGGGGGAGAATAAATTTCCATCAAAAACTTGGAAATTTTGAGATCTCAGAAACTTTCTAGAAAAAGTCAGAAGCATTGCTATGAAAAGAAAAGTCCAATTCAATTAAAATTGGAAAATTTCTGACTTCCAAAAGTCAAAAATTTTCAGCTTTTCAAACTCAGAAATGTCCTTGTTTTTCTAGAAAATTCCTGAAGTTAATCTCAAAATTCAGAGTTTTTTGGGAGAAATGTCCTCTTCCCCCCTCCCCCATGCCCCGTCTATAACGACCCTAACAGGTCATTGTAGATTTGAGAAACAAGCAAACATTTAATTTCGTCAAATACCATCATTGAAATCGTCACTCAAATATACAACAAATATATTCATCAATGTTCCAGTTGTCATGAATCAAAGGCCACAGGTGAGAATTTAGCCTTGACTGAAAGGAAGTCGGGGTTTTGGCATCTTTGCAGTTTGTTCCAGATTTGTGGGGCACAGTTAAGGAAAAGATTCATCAGGAAAACAGAAAATGTCCCTCAAATTCACAATAAATGTCGGATTTTTTTATTAGTACTGGAGTCTGTTTCAGTATTCTTTCTCCCTGCAGTTCACTAAAAATAGGTGATTTTTTTAAGCTACAGTCCATTTCAGAAGTACTCAAATCTCTTAAACATTGAACATTACCACCAACTTCTATCCATCTTACTGGAACAGTATTCAACGTCAATGTCTGGTTGTCACAGAAAAAAGCTCAAGTGGGACGAATACTTTTGGAAAACCGTTCATATTCAATCAGCTGTGTGGCTATTCTGAGTTGCTGCCTGTAAGAACTGAACCATATGAGAACCGTTCTCACCTCTGTGAATCCGTCTTTCAGGGGACTGACCGACTCTGTAGAAGAGTTTGCAGGGAAGCTGATCTTCTTCCCTTCCTCAAAAGGACGGGTGGGAATCCTGTGGAGGTATCCGTAGCCGATCCCGCATCCAAGGCTAGAGAGATCGGGGAAAACGAAGTCAAGGTAGACTGAGATCTTAACAGGAAGTGGAACGTTGAGGTGACTTTGTGTGTGTTTTGTACCTGCCCTCGCCTCCCCAGGAACCGTTGGGCGTTATGACCACCTCCCTGCAGTTGTCTGTGTCTGTGTTGTAGACGTAGAGCTTCAGGCCCTTTCCCTCGTGGCTCTCTATCAGAGAGAACAGGTCCTCTGACTAAAGATGGCCATGGAAACACAAAGATATCAGACGAAGCGTAAAAACAGAAGCAAAGGTCAACCAATGGCTACGAGAACTTTAAGAACCGACAGCCAACCTCATTCATGACAGTGTCGGCTCCGATAATGTAGTCGGTGTGCGGCCGCAGGCCGGCGAGGGCCGCCGGGGAGTTGGGCTCCACTTCCTGTTTCAGACAGTAAGACCACTTTGTTGGATTGCATCGGCTCGGACGATGATACGCACCCGGGTGTTTCCGCGGCTACCTACCAAGACGTGCCACACGTTCTCGTTGGCCCCTTCGAAGCTGCAGAAGCGGATGGACACCCCGAGCAAACCCTGGCCTCCCCACAGGTTGCTGGGAGTCACCGTGGTCTCCCGCAGCTCCAGGGTCTTTGACGAGTACACCAGCATCTTTACTGGTTTCTCCACATTGGCTTTGAGCAAGTCCTTCAAGGTGTCGTTGTCTTTGTTCTGGAGGGAAATGAGACGAAGGTGAAGGAAGGTAGACAAATGAGTGAATGAGACTTTCACGGGGAGAACATCCTAAGTTTTGGAGACAAAAAAGGGGTAAACTAGACAAACATTTAATGTAACATTGGGTATAAAACTATAAATGTGCTATTGGTGTGAACATAACGCGACTAAAAGAACTAAACTACCGAGAAAGACATTCAATACGACTTGACGCGGAGCGCTCCTTCTCGCCCATTTCTTAGTCCTGGTTCTCTTCACAGACTGCTTCCATGCGTTTTATTACATCTGAAAGTAACTGAGACTCACGCAGTTTAACTACATGCACCGTGTTTGCATGCGTTTTATTGTGTCTTGCAAGCTCATGTGAACTAAACACCTGTAAGAGCGTATGACATATGAAAATAAAGACTACTGCTACACCTCAGCTGCAGCAGCAGCACACAAATAAACATATTTGAAGGAGGAATTTGATTGTAAGTATGCACAAAACATCCTCAAAAGAAATCTGACCACTTGCCTTTTGTGCCAGAGGCAGATTGTTTTTGAACGGCGGTTTTCTTTAAATTTACAACAGCAAACCAGCTAGGAAAAAAAATGACCATAATACACCGAGCTACAAGTAAAACGCTGTAACAAATGCAAATAGCACAGAGAAATCTCCCTATTGAATTTTGAGTTTATCATGACTGAAAATTTGTTCTGCAGGACGCGATGAGTTCAGCTTCTTACCAATCTGTTGTTGTTGATGGAGACGATGAAGTCAAAGAAAGGCTCCAGTCCTGCCCGATGACCTGGTGAGTTCTCCTGAACCTGTGGCGAACATGACGGACAAACTTAGAGTCTGGATGAACCGCAACTCACACACTTTAAAAAAAAAAAAAAGGAACAAATCCTTTAGTTTTGTCAGATCAAAATTGACGAAAAACAAGTCTGTCAAGTGGGACTTTCGTTTAGAGGCCAAGCTCTTAAATTGTTGTTGTGAATGTTTATGAAGTATGCGACAAGTTATTGGCTGTCCTTCTGTTTGGGCTAATCCAACTCAAGAGTGTCCATAACTCAATTTTAATGAGCTAAATTGAGGTGCACGGCTTTAACTGCGAAGTTATGTTTCACATTTGGCGAAAGACTAAAAGTCCACGGAGCTAAGAATGCAACGTCCGATAATGGATGCAGACTCAAACGCAGCTGTCATTCCTCTCCGGAGCTTTAGCTGCCTCCAGCCCTGCTGATGCCCAGTTTCCGGCTGGAATACCTACTAAAGATTACCTGGAGACATCCAAATGAACGCTCCAGACCACACCAGACACTTACACGACTCTAAAACACACGGCAATCCCTTAACATGATATTGTGTTTTCCAAACGGAGGCCGCAGAGACGGACCCCGGCCTCTCATCAGTACTCCAAGCCAGAAACTCTCTCCCTTCTACCCGGATGCTAAGCTAACAGCTAGCAGGCTATAGGTGATTCAAACTCACCCGGAGGACGTGGTAACCCTCTGAGCCTCCACCTGGTATCTCCACGCTCTGAGATGCTCCCATGCTTTGTGTTTTAGGGGCTTTACGGGGATCTTCTAACGGACAGTTCCCCGGCGGAGGTAAGAAACCTAAACACTTCCACACACCGGGTACACGTCGCCAAATCACTAGCCTTGTAATGCGCAGGCGCTGTTACGTGGCAGGAAATAACGCCCTTTTCTGAAAATTTCAAATATGTTCATAGTTAAAATAAAATCGGAAATAAGTTTTAAAAAGCGCCTTGGAGAAATCTGTGAGTATGGAAAAGTGGACTGTAAATGAGGTCATTTTATTTAGTAAATTAATTTTATGTCAATTTTCAAATGGCAACTGTGACTTTTGTAAATTACAGAAAATATAATACATAAAATCTTACATATATTATTTTTTTGAAATGTGTATTTATTTTATAGCTCCTCAATGAACGTAAACTAAACAGTTCTGTCTGTTTGAAGACCAAAAACAATATATTTTTTGCTGTCAAGCTATTTCTAAAGTTTGCTTTAGATAAGCAGTGTCGAAACTTGGGCCAAAATGGTTACCTCGAAAGTATTCATATGTCACAAAATATACTCATAAAAATAACTGTGACTTTTTTAATCTTTTAATTGTTTTATTGAAGTGTTCAACAATAAACTAAGCTAGTAATATTTTAATTAAAGAAATAAATTAGGCTGGATTAGTTAGAAAAGGAGGTGTAAATTCTTCTAGATCCAGAACTTAGCCTTACCAATTATGGACTTTTGAAGCTAACTGTGTGAGTATGACTCACAAATGTTGGTTGAGACATAATTCCTCTCACACTAATGATAATGTTAGATTTGTTTTGATAACTCTCTGGTGGATGAAGTGTGAATTACACTTGGTTCAGTAAAACAGACGTGTACATTTGGGCAGACTGCAATTTTTTATTTACTGAATTTTGCTGATAAATTCATCAAATAATCTTTATCCCAAGCCATGTTGTGCAATAGAAAAGTGTGTTTAGGCTTACTAGTGTCTTCTGTACATGATGTAAGTAGACAACACGTGAGCAAAGCTCTGTGCTTGTGTTTTTGATTATGCAAAATGGAATAAATGTAATATAATGTACTTTTTACTTAAACACTGGATAAAAGCTCCTGAGACAGAGTTGTAAAAGTATGTTTAAGTATTTAAATGTATTTGAAACACTGCAAGATAAACAGAAAAAACATTACTTTAAAAATATATGTTGAAATTGAATTTCTTACACTGATTTCACGTTGCAAAATAGGCGCTAGGAGAGTCATGGGACTGTGCAGCAACAGATATTTAGCTGTATTTGAAAACACTGTAATGATGAAAAAGGAACAGCTGGTCAAAAACATCTTTTGACGAGGCCTGTCACGATAACAAATTTAGCTGAGCGATTAATTGTCTCAAAAATTATTGCGATAAACGATAATATTGTTTGATGACCATTTTAAACTGATGTAATGGTAATGACATGATAGTGCAAGCACATCCTGCCAAAAATAAAGACACTTTATTTTCAAAACAACATTGAACACTGGAACTGGTAAACGAAATAAACAAAACAACCAAAAACAAAATGGACTCTCAGTCCCTGTTAAAAAAAATGCACTGGAATAAAAACTAAACACAACATAAAACCAAAGTGGAAATAAAATTCAACCAAAAGAGTATAGATTATGAAGTCTGTATACTATATTGCCCTTCAATAATCATTAGATTTAGATAGATAGAGAAGATTGATATATCTGATTACCTGATGCAATGGTTCACTTCTGCCTTACTCAGTGGAGAGCACCAGAGTTGAGACTTTTTTCATCAATAGAAAGAAAAAAAGGCAGGAAGAAACGATAAAGCTGATAAATTAAAACGAGGTCGATCATTTTCATTTATTATGCGATTTATTGTTTATCGCCACGGGCCTACTTTTGACTCAATTTCAATCTTGTTTGAGGAAAAGAAGCATCAATAAAATATTCAGCATGCTGAGATGACAACTGCTAGATGGTGCCATTGGGCTTTTAATGTCACCTTTGAGTGCAGCTGTACCTTATATTTGTGTGCAGGCTTTAATTTTTTGGGTTGCTGTTCAACAAAAGAAGTGCTGCTTATTCCGTAAGCACACGAGCTGGTTTTAAATCTCTCTCCTTAGAAACTGACATATATTCCCTCTTAAGATTAACATTGTTGTCTGAAAATAACTTTAGACAACATTTTATTACAAAGCAAAGAAAAGCAACACTAAGAAAAACATAACATCTACTAAACAAGGACATGAACAGCAAACCAAAATTGCACAGATGAAACAAATGAGGATGAATAAGAAAACCAAAACCCCGGTACAAGAACAGTGAAATAGCTCATCATCAGGACTAAAGAATAAACTGTGAAACTAGACATGGACTGGCATGGCAAAACCTGATGAGCAACGGAGTTTTTAAGGCAAGGAGTTTCAAAAACCATTTTTTCCTGGTAAGAAAGTTATCCTGAATAATTCGTGTTGTGTTTAGTCAATTCTAGTTTTAAGTCTTTTCATATTGTGGCAATATGAAAAGACTTAAAACTAAAAAAGTCTTTTCATATTCAAAGAAAAGACTCAGTCACTATTGTTGCATATGACACATATTCACTACCCTGTACTTATTATTTGGGTAATTTTATTACGAAGTATCGCTACTCTTACTTGAGTGAAGTTTCTGGATTCTCAAAACCAAACATGTTTTAACCAAAAATTCACCAGACAGACACACACCTGCAGTTTTTGTTGAAATTTCATAAGTTTTATATTGAAGGAAACTGGTTTGGAAAATAGCTAATGTTATGTTTTTTGTTACTTGTATGAATTACTGTCATTTTGGTCAAGATGCAAGAAACATCCAGGATACACTGTCAAGTGTTGAACCTCCTGGTTCTGCTCTAGACTGGTCCACACAGTCCAACAATAGTGACTGACCCTGCTGTTTCTTCTAGCAGCCCTGTGAGAGCAACTCGCTGTGGAAAACCTGGTAGAAGGCCAAGACGTTACATGGACTCAACTTGATTTTACACATTTTGTTAAAAAAAAGAAGAAAAAAAATGCAGAAAGGGAGATGTGATGTATATTGAAAAACATTGTAATCATTTGGTGCTGCCAGTAGGTGGCACTGTGATGTGCCACCTACTGGCATATCAAACGATCCTGTTTTAGCTTAGGATCCACATGCACTGCACTTAGTGATTATGGTGGGGTGCTATCTGTGTCACCCCATCAGGGGGGCTGTTAGAATAAATAATTCAGTGTTTTCCTCTATCTCTTTTAGCTGCTTGCATGTTCATGTATACACACACAAGGATAAAGGAAATGACACATTAGGGAACGCCCTCTTTAGGGCGTGGCTTAGATAAAACCCTACAAAAGGAATCAGAAACTGTTGTTAGACACTATTTTGATGTGTTGTCCCATAAAAAAAAACATGGGAATGGGAATGCATTTTGGTCGTAATAAATGGGATTGATGATTTCAACTCACAAACTCTTCTGGAACCTAATTTCTTTAGAGATATCATAATTTTTATACATTAATTTCCTTCTCAAGGTACAGAGGAAGAAAATTAATGTCAGCGTTATTGTAGTGTTGTTATCTTGAGAAATAATGAACTTTGGTTAAATATAAAACATACTTTAATCAGTTATTGTTAATATGTGAATGCCACCGGTCTTAAATGTTATGGTTATGTCAGCGTGCAGCCGTGTGAGTGTGAGCAGATAAAACAGATAGAGAAAAGACCTTTTGTCAATAACGGTGTTCCTTATGAATTTCTTGTAACATTTCTTGTCTATAAAATGACAAGATTCATAGTTTCATTTATGAAGGGCATTTTAGTTCCATTAGTCTTTTTGTTTTTAACAATGTAACATCAGGGCTTTTTTCTATTTTTGTATATGTGTCCTTAACTTGATCTTTGTTAGCACATTAGCTCCACTTTACACCAAACTAACTTTTAGCCACATAAAACACATGTTCTTTTTTTTCTCCGATTAGCAGATGAATAGTCCCCAGGAGGGGGACTATTCAAAAACTCCGTTGCTCATCAGATTTTGCCATGCCAGTGGTCAGAAGTCAGAGGCAGGATGGTAGGAAAGAGACATTAACACAGTTTGATCTGGAGATGACCAGGTTTTCTGTGTGTTCATTATAATTTAACATTTTCTGCAGGTATAACGTAGCAATATCAAAAGTTCATCCACTGACTGCTAAACAGCAGAATCAGGTAATCCGACAGCCTCCTGTGATCTATTCTTCTGGCCAGTACCACGACATCATGTTGCTGAGGCTTCGGAGACCAGTAACAGACATCCCACCTGTTCAGCTACCAAATTGCAACAATCGTCTCAAAGTGTAAGTCTTTCTCTGATCAAAATCATGACTTCAGGTTTTCTGTCTCCACTCCTCCAGTCCTGCTGCCTCTGCTTCAGCACACCTGAGTCAGGTAATCAGGCCACCAGCAGAACCAGAACCCGTTTAGCTCAGGTGTGTTGGACCAGAGACGCATGTAAAGGACGGCGGAAGTCGTCACTGAGGACTGGAGGTGGACACTCCTGTGTCTGTGGATGAAGTCCTTCATGGATTTATCTTCTGTTCTTTCAATGTGCTTGTTAACAATTAATTTTCCACATTGTTATCTTGTATTTTTACATTTTATTCTTATTGTGTTTCAGAGGCGATACAGTTCAGCTGGCAGGAGAGGGAGGAACGACAACCGGCCCCAATAATCTGCGAAGTGAGAGAAATCTTGAAGTTATGAGAATAAAATCTTTGTTTCTGTAAGAGTGAATAACATGTCTATGATTCTCATGTTTCTCTACAGTACCCATGCCTCCTGGTTCATCCCGTCTTCAGTGTGTCGACATGAACGTTGTTGCTGTCTCCCAGATTAAGCCGGGAAGTGGGCATGTATTTCATATTCAAGCACCGAACAAGGATATAAGTTTTGTAAGATTGTTTCTTCATTGTCTCTCTAAGGTGATTAAACAAATTTTCTGTTTTACAACATAAATCAATATATTGATATACATTTTTCTACAGGCTGACTCTGGTTCAGGAGTGATCTTCAACAACATGATTTATGGTGTCATTTCTCAAGCTCCACTAACCTATGCATTTCTGGGTCCTATTGTTGTCATGGAAGTGTGTGAATACATGGATTGGATAAAACAAACAATTGTGCTTAAATAAAACAATCATGAAATAAAATTCTCATCAAACTTCCTCTCAGATATAATTTCATATCTGAGTTTGTTCTACAGGTTTGTAGAATTTGGATGAATGAATAGTTTTGGTTTTTCTCATCTGACCTTGACCTCCTAATGGAGCTTCCTCAGTAAATGAATGAAAAAGAATCATTTCCTGGCTGATTGTCTTTACATTCATGGCTCAGTTTGATCAGTTAATATTTTCCCTGAACTGGGTCTAAAAACATGACATGAGTTCTGAGTAACATGAAGAGGAACACCAGAAGCAATGTATTTATTCAGTTTTGTCTTTCTTTTACAGCAGAAATGAACATGCAGCATCTAAACTCTGCAGCTCTGGAGATACTATTTATGATTTAGTTCTAGAGAACTTTAGACTCCAACAAAACCAAAGAGCTGTACACAAAAATAATGAAACAGAAGTCACATGATACAACAATTAACATAATAAAATCCTAATAACTTAAAAATTAATAACAAAACAATACATTTTTAATAAGAAAACATGAAATAACATTCAAAAATGAAAAACAATTTAAAAGTCAAAATTTGGAAAGAAAGAGAAGTTTTAAGAAAAATATTTAAAAACAGATCAAACTAATTAATGGTAGCTTCCACAAATTTAGCATAAAAAAAAGAAGCTTTTTTTCATTGTATGTAGAAAGCTACATGGTGAACACAGTTTTACTATTGCGATATTGTAAAGTGTTGTGACCAGCAGGGGGAGATCTTTTTAAAAGTTATGTCCAAGACGGATCCGAACACTATGGAAGCCCATTTCTGACACTCTGTTAAAAAAAAAGTAAATAAATTATCTCATTATAATGAAATAATTTCTGATATTTTTTAATAGAATGGCGGAAATGGGCTTCCATAGGTGTCAGGTTACATTGTGTTGCATTCAATGTTATCGGAAAAAAGAGATTCCAGCGCTTAATGTCCGATTTGCCATAACTATTTATTGAATTCATAGTCGCCAGCTGGGGTGGCAAGGCTCTCATTTGGGGTGGTAACCCATGCCACCCCAGTAGATCCCCCTCCCCCCCCCCCCCCCCCCTTAACGTAAACAACCTGGATGACAGACAAATTCTGGGATTTATTACGAGTATCTGCTTATTTCCAAGCCCAAATGAGTACCTTCACGTTCAAAAACGAGCGCCAAAAATCGCAACTCGCGACTCAACCTCCAACCGTTTGTGTTGGGGACCAACACAAACGGTTGGACCCCATTTGTGTTTACAAATGGGGTCCAACCGACCCCACACCCGTAAAACTTGTATCATTTGCCATAGTCCTCCGCGTTTGCCTCAGTCCTTGCACGCACAAGGGTTAAATTTGCAAGCGATTTTAGAAACGAAACAAGCCCAAAGCTGCTTATAAAAATCGGACTTGGCGACAGAATCTCAAAATAGTTCCTGTTTTTCCAGCAACAAAATGCGCATCTCTCTCCTCGCTCCAATGTTTACATTTCTGTCGCTGCTGATACTGTCGCATAGAAACGGCAGTCGCTCCCCAAGACGCTTAGAGTAAATAAAATTACATTATTATTAATTTAATTTAAAAATAAATTAAATTATTTTTAAATAATTTAAAAATAATTAAAATTTTTAAATAATTTAAAAATTAAAAAAATTGAAAAAAATTGAAATTTAATTTTTTTAAAAAATGTTAAAATTTTAATTTTTTAAAATTAAAATTTTAATTTATTTTATTTATTTTTTTAAAATGTCTTTAAATTTCCAGTAACAGTAACGTTACTGTGCGTATGTGCGAAAATAGTAACGCACCGTAACGCAAAGTGAATTTCGTTAAGTTACTGTAGTCTGACTACTGGATTTGAAATAGCAACGCGTTACATTATTCCTGAAAAATGTGGGAGTGATGTCACTAACGTCACTGAGCACATATTTTCTGCTGATCTTTGACCTACGGATCACTTTGACCATCACAGGCATATTTGGATTATATAAAAACACTTCATCTGGGTTGAATAAACGGACATCATGGAGATGCAGGAATTAGTTTCACCAACAGAAAGAGATAAATCCCCACCAACAGACTGTGAAAACAGACTGTCAGCCTGAGAGTGTTTGTGTTTTCTCTGGCAGTCACAATAAGGGCTCATAACTTCAAACATCAGCAGGCCAACTTCGCTCTGACTCTCCCGGTTTGATCAGTCAGACCAGTCTGACCTGTTGCATGAAGCAACCAGCAGCTCTGTTCTCTGGACTCTTTTCTTTTCATAACACTTTCAGTTTAAACTCACCTGCTCAGGTGTGGCACCAGTCTGGTTCTACTGTGGCTCTTTTGCGTCTCTGTCCGTTGTTCAGACGTTCTTCTTTATTTCTTTGGACCATTTGAAAAACCTGTAAGTTTATTTATTTATTCCAACTTTAAATTTGTGTTCAGGAAATTCCCTGTTTCTTTCTGCTCTCTGATGTTTGGGGAACAGGTTCACTTCTGATTCCAGCTCAAAGTTTAATCTCTCTGCTGTTTGAAGGATAATCTATAGGATTATTAGAACACAGATGAACTGGAATGTCTTTGTTTTCTTCTCTGAACAAACTGCTTCCTTTTTTTTTTTTTTACCTTGTATCAAACTCTGGTCTCCACCATTAAAATGAAAGAAAACAGTTGTCTGCTTCTTTCTTTCAAAAATAAAATTAGATTATTGTTACAATATGTCTATTCAGTCAAATTACTAAAGAGTTCATCTTTATTAGAGCAGATAATCCACTTGTAGAGATTAATAATTGTGAAATAAAATAATTCCTGAGCTTTAACTAGAGAGTGGAAATGTTGGACTGATAGAAGTGCACCTGACACTGATATGACGCAGAGAAGAAGAGCCAATCAGAGGAGGAGCAGC